TAGACAAAGGCCGAAGCACCATAGTCACGCAATACAGCACAACGTACCAAATTGTAACTAGTCAGATAGAACGGCCTTTGGCCAAAGTCCTACATAGCCAACGGCTGATACAGGACTATAATGGAATAATAATAATAATACGAAGACACCGGCGTCGACGTCAGATATCCCGAGCCTTTTCCGCACTAACCATGACACCTGTCTCGGCGACTTTCGCCCGCTAAACTTTCTCTACTCGACAACACCAGTGAATGTAGTATGACATACCCTCGTAACGAACCTCTTTTTTTCCGGAAACACTTCCCCTGACTCACTCAGAGGCAAACACTGCACTTCAAATCTTGGCCTTGATGTGTGTGTGTGTGCTCCAACAAAGGGCAACTTTGATATGAGAAAAAGAAAAAGGTTCATTTGCGCGTACGGGGGCTACGTAGGTAGGTATCTCAAAACAACGCCAGCGTGGTATAGTAGTACAGATGCAATAAAACGCCTTGCAGCTATACAATGAGTGTAAACAATACTCGACCCAATCAATCGTTCCGGTCGTTATGACTTCAGTCTTCAAGATGCAGAATCATATTCTACTCCAAAAACGCGTTTCCCGTCTTCTTCGCTCATCTCCTCGCCCTCGCCAAGGTCGGACCACGACTTGACAATATGCGACCTCTCTCCAGCACGCCTCTTAAGAGTGCATTCGCCATTACCTTGACAAATCTCTTGCCGTCCAAGGTTCTTGAAACGAGGCCCCAACGGCCCGTTGACGTAATGATATTGGCCCAAGAAGCGGTATTGTCGGGGGTCGCTAAGTGGGTAAAATTTGTCGCCCCAGTGGCCAGCAAAGTAGAACCATGATGTGGGCGCGACGGGGTTGAGGTTAGATGAGACAAGCCGGTCCGTCCGATAGTTGTACTTGTACGAGTACATGTTGAGCACAGGGTCCCAGAGAGGGCCACGATCAGTAACGTCGTGCAGAATGCCACCTGGCAGAACATACGGATGAGTGCCCTCAGTCGCGTACATGGCGTGGGTCCCTGTGGCAGAAAAGCCGATAGGCTAAATGTGTCAGTTTAAGCCATTGTACTGTGCCTTGCATCAACTTACCCTCTTTCCACTCTTCTCTACAGCGTCCCAGGCGTACGCTTCACCAAAACTGTGTTCACTAAAGAACACTGCCTTTGGTTCGCCGTGGTGAAACCGGACCACCGTGTGCTCCCAGTCACCCACATGGTTACCGAAACGCACGTTAAAGACTGCATTGCCCAGGTTGTAGCTGTAGAAGAAGAACCAAAAAGCATCGACAACTCCGTCGCCCTTGTCTACCACGACCAATGGCACAGGGGCATCGCTACGCCCGCCAACGACCCTCTTGCCCTTGTACTTGCGGCGCACACGGCGCAGTTCTGATCGCCAATACCTGTCATCATCATCGGTGTCGTCGATAAGTTCGTCGCCCTCGGGTGTGCTGGTGGGAATGGGCCCTCCAGGAGTTGATGGGTCAGGTCGAATGCCACCTCGCCCTTTGGTATCACCCTTGCCGACGTGCCACCAACGCGACTTCTTGCTTTCTCTGTCTTCTGTAAGATGTCCTTTGGCTCCACCATCATGCTTCGGGTCATCGCCATCGTCGTCTCCGTTTCCTGGTACATTCGGAATATTGTAATCCGCACCTAACCACGCCGGGCGATCCTCTACATTGTCATCGCTCTGGAGGTATACGAATCTTCCCCACTTGTTAAGTTGCCCAAGATTGCTGATAGTCGGGTGATCGCTTTGGGCTTGAATAGGCGTGTAGTTCAGATGAGGCGTCGTATGCACCAAGTGATCAGCCATATCTCCCGGCCAGTATTCTTCTCCCGAGAACAGGTGTATCAGAGGCGCATGGTCTATAACGTATTGTGGGATCTCGAGCTCGGGATCTGGCTTGTAGTCTGCGGGAATGTTCCGCGCATCTTTCCAGAAGTCGTTCAGGTTGGTCTTGTCCGACTCCTCTATAATAACCGTCTGGCCTTGTGTGTCGGATGCTGCCGTGGTCCAGTGTGCTTGGTTTAGATGCGCCAGGCCACATATTCCAAACCAACTGCACGCTTTGCGATCTAGCCAAGATTTGGACGATGCAACCCATTCGGTTTCATCTGCGCGCTCATCCCCGGGTGTCAACTTGTCGAACAGGAAATCCTGGTAAAAGTGCGAAAACGTGAATAATCCGAACAATGCGCCCCCAGCGGCGGCAACAGGTTTCCTGCCCTTCATTTCTGCCTCGTTCTCGCTCAACGAGCTCTCTACGCCAACGCCAGATGTGTAAGCCTGCTCAGACGAGTCTTGTTGCAAAGGATGGGTTATAGGGATATCGATGGTAGGAATGAGTGCTTCGTCGTGGGCGTCTTGCGTAGCATCTGGATTCTGGATCGAAGTATCGGAGGAGTACGTTGCTACCGGAGGATGCTCAGGTATATCGGCCTTGGGGATAGGAAGTAACGAAGGCAGGGCTGCTTGTAGTGGAACCTGCACTCCGCCATGATGCAAGTACGGAACGAGTGGCACTGACTAGTTAGCTTTCATCCATAAGTTCCGGTTCAAGACGCCACAGAATAATCCCATACGGAATGCCTGAAGCCGGCACTGCCGGTATGCTGACAAAGATGCTGCAGGTGACAGGTATGATTGCCATGAGCAGCAGTGGATCAGCCTCGCACTGGGCAACGCAGGAAATAGCCGCAATGATGAGCGATGCTGTAACTGCGACAAGGCCCAACAGGGCTGGATTTGAGCTAATGGCACGCTCGAAATTCGGCGGGGAACGGACACGGCGGAAGGTAATGATGGCCCGAAATGGTTGTTGTATGGCCGGACTTGGGCGGGAGCAGACTCACTGATGGAGAGTAGATAAGCGCAGGCAGCCGATTGGCGCTAGAGTCACGTCGAGGAGATGCACAATGGTTATTAAAAGAATGCGATCAATATACATCAAGCAGGAACGTATGCAGTAGATGTTTTGTGCAGAGTGGCGCGCAGTGGTGGTTGATGCGTTCTGGATGGTTCCCGGCTGGGCGTACGTCGTCAGCGCTAGCTGGGGACGATGCGGGCACGGGAGCCTCGGTAGGCAAGCGGCTCTCCATGCCATAAACCTGGCATCCAGGCACGGCCTATCGATACAACACGTTATCGATAGATAAGCCATACGTGCAGCTTGTGAAATGTATGCACTCTGTTCGGTGTCTCTGTATAGCCAGCGTCGTTATGGGCGGCACATCAGGGTGTCAGACGTGGCCTCACTTGCGGACAACCATCCTGTGCCGCATCCAGTCGCGATGTGAGACGCATGCAGATGCAAAAGACTATCACTCTCTATGAGCAGGACATGTCATTGACCTTCTATCCTAGTGTAATGCATGCTGTATGCACGCCCAACTTTAGGCTCATTCCCCACCCTTTCGCAGCTCAGTGCCAAAAAGACATGCATGGCGCTGAGACACACAGGCTCAGCCCGACATGAACGCAAAAAAAGGATGGTTGTCTCCGCTCCCAGAATCGAACTAGGGACCTTTCGATTACAATTGCAATTACAGTCGAACGTGATAAACCAACTACACCAAGCGGAGTTGTACGACTTTTCAGCCGTGCTTGGATTTGCGATGTGAGAACGGACAACAGTAACATAAATATTGCCATCGACAAAACTTTGCAAAAATATCCGTACCAAATATCGGTTGGAAAACTTCGGCTATAAATCACCATCTTTCAATGTCTTTCCACTGACCCCACTGCGCTGCGTCTTCCATTACCTTGAGTTTTTGAAAGCGCCCAGCATCATGACTCACATCGATGACGAATGGGAGTATGAGTACGATGAGACCGAAACGGAGGACTTTTACATTCCCTTGGATCTTTCCAATGTTCCAGCAGCTCAAATCCCTATGGTGTCGCAAAGTAGGCCGGGCCATCCAACTTTGCTTAAAAGCCGACTGCGCGCGCTAAACGCAGCTCGAGGTCAGCCGGCCGAGGTCGCAGCCGGTGCAAACGCCAGGCAAGAAACGGCCAACATGGGCGAAGTGCAAGTGATTGGGCTGCATACGCCGAATCCGTTGGTCATGTATAACGGTCAGTTGTTGAGTTGCCACTGGACTTCGACTATCGGAACCGACATGTTCTTCGTGAAACCGGATGCGGACGCGGACACAACGCAGCCATTACGATCTTTGCCATCGGTCGACTTGTTATCTCTGGGGTCTGCAAAATTGGTTGCAAAAGTTGGACGACTGCGGCCGCGCGATGATGTCAACCACGCTGATGATGCGCAACAGCCGACTGAATCTGTGCAAAGTACGGGTGATAGTTCAAGTCGGGCCGCTGCGGCTTCAGGTGAAGGTGAAGGACGACAATCCGGTGGCGAGGCCAAGCCAACGTCGACAAACTTTCTAGCAAGATTAAACGAGGCAAAATTGAAGAGAGGGGAGAAGTCGCAATTGGCAATCTCCAAAACATCCGACGGGTCTCGTCTAGTTGCGGAGAAAGCAAATGTTGTAGCTGGAGCCTCATCGCAGGAAAACGACGATACGGTTATGGGAGGCGTATGAGAAATACGGAGCGGAACGAGCAACTCTGGGGAGCCGTGTGACATATCGGCGCCTCGCTGAAACAAGGGAACATTTGCCACAATTAGTCAAAGGTGCTCCCCAGAATCACTCAGCAGTGAAGTAACTGAGATTGACGTTTGCAGCCTGACTGAAAGTAGCAAAACGCCTGTTACATGAATGACGTGGGAAGGCAGCATCATTGGGGACGAGCCCTTTAGCAGATCACTGTGGGGCTTTGATGTATTGCGGCTTCCTCCCGCCTCCGAAAGCCAGGGTCTTTGTCCTGGCAAGACCAACCCTGGCCATCTACATTTCGTATGTACGAGCAAACAGTTTCTGCGAAAATGCATCGCAGTCACTGAGTCGCTCATCTGTTATCCTAATATCTTGTTCAAATTCATCCCTCGTCTATCCCTGATAATCTTCTCCTACGTATTGTTAATGCAGAGACCTGTAGACAGACTGAGTGTGGAAATCATTGTTTTTCAGGCTATGGAAATAGCCAAAGTGAAGGGCTGTTATTCGCAATGCACAGCTGATAAGAGCAATGAGTGTTTGGAACGCATCGAGGTCGATTTACACCAGCCACAGGGTGACAGTATCATATTCGAAGATACTGAAAAAGCAGTCTCAGAAGAGGTGGCAGATTGGCTCGAGGCTCAGGAATGCGCCGAGTTCTGGAAGTCCAGGCTACGGCAGCCGCATCTGGTAGTAAGCGACATTACCCAAGTGTCTAGTTGGTCTATCTAACCTCATCAGATACCTAGTGCACTTCAGTTGGCCCGACATATCAAAACTAGTGCCACTCTCCAAGCTGACCCCTGCAGTGGTCTCATTTCATTCGAGGCGCTTTTGCATTTGATCGCCTTAGAGTTACTAGCAACTTGCTACACATCATCAAGTTCAATCGCAAGTTGCGTTCCTCTGCTGGAACAACAAAAAGATACGAAACCTACTACAGTATTGCGTGCATATTCAAAATCGCTATTTTCTCCAGCTTTTGGTCACCACGCTCGCACATCTTCGGAAATAGGTTCTTGGCCAGTTCTTTGTATGGGACCGTCGCTCGAGGAAAAAATAGCAGAGCATGACAGCCGTAGACGCCGACAACAGAACGACTAGAAACAACATGTTTTGGATCTCTCTGGGGCCGGCTGGACAGATGGACCGCCCTCAGAAGCGATGTGCATGGAGCTAGACAGCAAATTATCAAAAGCCAGCTCGAGCTCCTCAGTGGGACACCAGCCAGGGGTTTTCTTACAACTGGTATGCCAAACAGTAGTACCCAGGAGCCATCGACGTAAGTACAACGCCATGTTCTTGGGCCGAATGTCGTTAGGGTGGAAGAGACAGAAGCAATGTTGGGCTGAGCTTGAGCCTCGTCAACATGGTGACCGAACGTCCTCCCCTAAAAACATCAATGAACGACCTGTACTACGCGCACCATCCGTACTTCAACTTCGTCCTACACAATCTGTGCCATCAATTGCAGTAGAGAAAGATGTGTCCGTCAGGAATCCTTATACTTCGAGGCGATGTAGCTCCGATCCATCTGATGGCACTCCTCTCACTCATCACTTCCAGCTTCCGGAGATCCGGCGCATCTCAGAATTAATGGATGGGAGCCAGTCTCAAGATTCATCGATAGCTGACTCCGTGCGTGCTTGCGAACACGGGGATCTCATAGTCACTCACGATCACTTTGACGACACTCCAGATGGCCCATATACAGCACGACAACAGCAGAATCAGTGGAAGAATCAGCATTGGCGACACAAGGATACTAGTTTTCTATCCCCACCCGCTACCTTCTTGCCAATGAAGTCTACTCCGTCAAGCCAGATTGTTCCAGAGAGTGACTACTTTGGGAAAGTTCATATTGGTGGACGCACGACGGATGGGAAAGAGGATCATAGGACTACTGCAACAGAAGATGGCGGTACACGCTCTACAATGAATGACAGTATTAAGGCTCAACCTTCTATAAAAGAGTCGGGCGACAGTGACGGACTGAACCAAAAGAAGCCGAGAGGCGTCAATGAATCATCGATGCAGGGATGTGAGTTTGGAAGGCCGTCTCGGGGTAGAACAAGAGAAGAACTTGATCATTATTCTGCTAAGATAGGTTGGTAACGCTTGAGGTCATGGGGACGTTGTAATTAGCAGAGTCTTTGCCTTGATGTACAGCTCAATTGCAATGGCCGTCTCTCATAAAGAAGACCTGTAAAATCTAAAGACCAATGTATCTCTCATCCCTAAAATCGGGTTCTCAAAATCATTCTTCTTCCTCTCATGTAGCTTGAAGCCAACCTTTTTCAACACATTCTGACTTGAGACCAACTCCGGGTCCGTGTGTGCTTCTGCGTACTCATATCTCGGTGCCAACCGCTTCCCATTGCTCGTGCAGCCATTGGTGCCGTTCCCGTTTTGTGCACTCCCGTTGCTTGATGGGCCCTCTGCATCTTCATCCCGGTAATCTGCAATGCAATTGCCGGAATAGTGTTCGAAAAACAAGGGCATGAACGCACGTAATGCTTCCGTGGCGTATCCTTTCCCCCAGTATGAAGCATTGAACATGTATCCTACTTCGGGAGCGCGGACAGCACCAATGAGGCCAATGACGCGTGGACCATCGTGAGGCTCCGACAAGATGACTGCGAAATTCCAATTGTGTTCAACCTGGTGGCACTGCGAAAGCTACTAGTCAGCCTACAAAACATTCTCAAGAAAGCTATTTGAGATAGGAAAAATTGCCCCTTACACCTTGTATCCATGCCTTTGTAGCTTCAATGTTGTCCGAGGGGAGAGTAGATGTATGCATCATGACCTCCGGATGCCTGCGCATCTCCAATACGTCATCTGCATCTTCCATGCGCAGCGGGCGGAGCAGCAACCGTTCCGTCTTGACGAATAGCCCAGGGTCAACCACAACCATATTTTGCAAAGCTTCAGAAAGAAAGTAGTATCGAGAGCAGTCTCATCATAATATATATTTACTGGCACAGTGTATGTGCGCGCATTTAAAAAAAGAGTCAGATTGGCAGTCGTCTGTGGCACCCAGTTGGAACAACTGGCGGCGCACAGGGCTGAGCTGGTACCTTGTCCATTGTAGCCTAAAAGAGAGCGTATGTTTGGAAAAAGGACGCTAAACCGCTTCGGTGGGCGCCGATATCCCCGAAGCTTTCTCAACCACAGCTGTCAAACTACTACACCGCATCCAGCACACAACGGCCAATCAAAGATGCTCCTCTTGAGGGTCTTCATCTTACATCATTTATAGCAATCGCTGCTCTTCGTCTGTTCGTCGGCAACGGCTTCCAGACTCTCTTTTTTCGTTGGCCCTCTTCCCTCCCGGCCCCCCCTCCCCTTACCCCCGCATGTCGAATTCAATTCTATCCGCTTCCGCGAAGGGAGCCACTTTTCTCATCCTGCTGCAGGTTGCCTCGCGCGCCCTTACATTCGCTGTCAACCAGGTTCTGCTGCGATTTCTCTCACCGGAGCTGCTCGGCGTTTCAGCCCAGCTCGAGCTCTTCTCTATATCGGTGCTGTACTTTGCGCGAGAAAGCTTACGCGTGGCACTGCAGCGCCAGGCGCATGGCACGCAGGCAGTAGTCAATCTCTCCTATCTCGCCGTTTTCCTGGGTACGCCACTGGCGTATGTGCTTGCGTTGCTGTGGTTCCGGTCGGAGACGCCCAATGTGCCGTTCTTTGCAGAAGCACTGTTTGTCTATGGCTTGGCTACCTTTCTCGAGTTGCTTAGCGAGCCTGCGTTTTCAGCAGTCCAGCAGAAGCTTCTCTATAAAGTTCGAGCGTCGGCTGAGAGTTCTGCTACCCTGTTGCGATGCATCGGCACTTGCGGATCTGCGATTCTAGCTAGCCGTGCCGGTCTCGATATCGGGGTTCTGCCGTTTGCTGTTGGGCAATTGGCCTACGCCGTGGCGTTACTCGTTGTGTATTCGTTCAAGACATGGCCTGTTGCGAAGACGGGTGGGTTTTCGCTTTTCCCGGAGAGAATACCTTCAACTAAAGAGAATCCCGTCTTGATAACCTATTTTTCTGCTCCTCTACTTCGACTTACTGCATCCCTTAGCCTTCAGTCAGCGCTCAAATATGTTCTCACTCAAGGCGATTCTCTTTTGATCACGACTCTTGCTTCGCTTGCAGACCAAGGCGCCTACGCACTCGCATCAAACTATGGAGGTCTCATTGCACGCATGCTCTTTCAGCCCATTGAAGAGAGCAGTCGCAACATGTTTGCAAAGCTGTGTGCCAATGTAAAATCAACGGCACCCACCGGGGAAAAGAAGAAGCCAGAGGAAACAAACGAACAACAACAGAACCTAGCTCAGGCTTCCAGAGTCCTTAGTACCATCCTCCACCTCTATGGCATCATATCTTTATTCGCCGTCACACTGGGCCCAGTCCTAGCTCCTACACTCCTTTCGATTGTCGCGGGTCAGAAATGGTCCGCAACATCTGCATCAAAGGTCCTTTCGACATACTGCTACTACATTCCCTTTCTCGCCATCAACGGTGTGACTGAAGCATTCGTAGCCGCCGTTGCTACTAACAAAGAGCTTTACGCACAGTCAGTTGCCATGGGCATCTTTTTCGCCCTTTTCGCGGGGAGCGCCTGGTTCTTCATCGGTCAGCTCGAAATGGGTGGTAATGGTGTGGTGCTGGCTAACACAGTTAACATGGCTCTGCGTATTGTATGGAATACGTGGTTCATTGGACGATTCTTTTCGCAGAATGGTTCTGGATTCAGCATATTAGAGACATTGCCTTCGCTTACTGCTGCGGCTCCTGCGGCCGTTGTACCGACTCTGATGCGGACGAAGCCCGGTATTTATTTTCTGAGACGGTTTGGAGTGCTGGGTGAGCTGGTGAGCATGGGAGTTGTAGGTGGGATTTATGTGTTGCATGTGCTATTTTTTGAGCGTGGCTTTCTGGTGGATTGCTATCGCATGTTGAGGCCTTCTCGAGTGCCCGATGCGGCTGAGAAGAAATCGGAGTGAAGGGAATATGTATTAAGTAGATAAGAACTAGATGTTTCCAAGTACAATTTTGTAGCAAGACGCTGGGATAGAAAACAGTTTATCATTCAACCAACATGCAGGTATTTCTACTAGCATTGAGAGAAAGGTTTTCAGGTTGCCCATGGGGCCGCCATCACAGCAGTAGCGAAAATCCGGGGCATCTCCTCTCTATAGGAGAAAAAATCTTCACTACTATTCTACGTACAATTCAAATGCATCTTCGATCCCAACCCCAAACACCATTCAAGTGGGTCCGCACGTGATTAGTCACAGCCCCACTCCATATCGATTACCAAGTTTTCCCTCCCCTCATTGTTACTCAGTTGGATAACAACGCTCTCGAACAGAAAAAAAAACGTCACTCCCCGGGCCACACACACCCAACTCCAACTGCACCCCGCCTCCTTCTCCTCACAAACCCCAACCCGCATCCCGATCACCAACCATCTCCAAATTTTTTTCACGCCATCACGAGAACAAGGCCGCACGAACTATTATTTTCTCAAGTAATCTGGGGGTAATAGAAACTAGGGTTTTCCCTTGGACAGGAAAACCTGGGGGAAGAAAGCACGGCCGTAATCAAATTATTCGCTGGGTTGCATGAAGCCAGGGGGCCCGCGGTTGCTTGTTAACTTTTAGTTGCAGAGACGGACCGCTAAGCGAAGTTTCCTGGGGGTAAGAGAAACTACCCCATCGACGACGCAAGACGACATTAAACAACGCACAACGTGGGCTTTGATCACGCCATTTAAGCACTGGGAAGAAAAGTTTTTACCTGGAAACCAGACTACTATTCGACAATTGAAACTTATTGGTTGCCGTTTTCTATTATAACATTCTTGGCCTGCAACACACCAGGATTGACGCCATCGAGACTATGGTTACGATGGACGAGTCGCGACACTTGCATGGGCTGGTGGACATGGGGAGTAACGGGATCCGCTTCTCGATTACGGATCTGACGCCAGCGACGCAACGGGGACTCCCGACTCTGTATTTGGACCGTGCGGCGATATCGCTGTACGATGCGCAGTTTGAAGACGGCAAGCCCGTTCCGATACCCCAGGCGACGATCCGACAGGTAGTCAAGTCGCTGCTGCGATTCAAGGCTACGTGTGAGGATTTCGGGGTACCTGAGAGTCAAGTGCGGATTGTGGCTACAGAGGCTACAAGGAAGGCGGTTAATTCGGAAGAGTTCCGCAAGGAGATTAGGAGGGCGACGGGGTGGGAGGTGGAGCTTTTGTCCAAGGAGATGGAGGGACGGATTGGGGCGTTTGGGGTTGCGAGTTCGTACCACAATGTCACGGGACTTATGATGGATTTGGGAGGTGGGTCGACGCAGATCAATTGGATCGTCACGTCGACGCAGTACGATCGGATTGAGATGTGTGAGAAGGGAAGTGCAAGCCTACCGTATGGCGCTGCGGCGCTCACGAAGAGACTTGAGGAAGCTGGTCCTCATGGAAGCAAGGGTTTCAAGGCTTTTGAAAGCGAAGTCGTTGCTGACTTGAAAGGAGCGGTTGAGGATATTCGGATTCCCCAACATTTGCTTGACCGATGCGATTCGGAAGAGGGTCTTTCTCTTTACCTGTCTGGAGGTGGGTTTCGAGGCTGGGGCTTTGTGCTCATGTCTACGCATCCCGTCCAGCCATATCCCATTCCAATCATCAACGGGTTTCGGACAACGAGTGATGTTTTTCATGATACGCACGCTGTACAGGCTGCTGTCAAGCAAGAAGACACACCAGAAATCTTCCGCGTGTCAGCACGTCGGGCGAGTCAAGTTCCTGCCGTTGCCTTTTTGGTTTCGTGCTTGTCGAAAGCACTGCCGAGCATCAAGAACGTCTACTTTTGCCAGGGCGGCGTAAGAGAGGGAATGCATTTTGCGGAGATGGAGCCGGCGAGCATGTCCGATGCGCCAATTGTCAATGCGACAAGAGCGTATGCGCCGGCTTCTAGTCCGGAGCTGATGGACCTGTTGCAAAGAGCGGTAGTGGCTCCGCCATCGGCGGCGCGCAAGGAGCTGTTTAGCAACAGCATGATGAGGGCCTTCACTTACACCATGTTTGCGCACAGAGGCCAAGTTAAGGATCTCCGCAGTGGGTCTGCGCTAAGGAGTACCACGACAGGCATCTTCTCTGCCGGACACGGTCTTAGCCACGAGGAACGCGCCACGCTCGCCATTCTACTGTGTGAGCGTTACGGGGGGTACAACACAATCAGCCCCACCGAACAGGACTTTTATCACCGAATGCTGCAGCTTGTTCCCGAGGACCTGAGGTGGTGGTGCAGGTACCTGGGGAGCGTTGCCGGCGTGCTTGCAAGTGTATATCCCGCGGGGACCATTCGGCAGAGCCGCGTCCAGGTCAAGGTGGAGTGGGCGAGTAGCAAAAAGGACAAGGAGAGGCTTTGCATTGATTTTGAGTTTGGGCACGAGCCGGACGATCTGGACGAGGGACTGCAGGCGGCGTTGAAGAGGGTGGAGAAGGTGGGCAAGAAGAAGAAGTGGATCGGAGGGCATGGATACAAGGTGGTGTTGACTGTAAACGGCCACGGCTATGGCGAGGAGGACGAGTAGAAGTGAAACAATGGTAGTGCGTGATTGTCATGGGCGTTGGAGTGATTTTACCGAGTTGGGCTCGTCATGGCGAGGGGCAATGGCGACGATATGCCCGTCTGGGCCATGGACGCGGTCTCGACGCTGAGCAACCGACAGCTGACAGGCAAAAGAAGGGATCGTGACTCGGTAACTGGGTGCAAGCGGTGAGGTAGAGGTGGAGGAGAGTGTGCAATGGCCGCACGTGCAGCAGAGACCCAGTCCCAAGGGGCCACGTACAGTCATGGAAACGCCATGGATGGCAGAGAGCGAGCGCCAAGGATCGTGAGTTCTGCAGCC